AACGTATTGTTTATAGCTTGAGGTGGCTCATCACCAAAAGCCTGCCGTGGGCTCACTCCTTGGAATCTCTTACCAGTACTTCCAATGCAACTGCTGAATAAAGCACATACCAGTCAGTAAAGCAGTGCTATAAGATCTTGTCAATCTACTTGTCTACAGCACAGACCAGTGTGTTCAAATCATGATTCCTGGAGATCTACAGGACTGAAAACGTACAGCAGTAGGGGCTCATAAGCAATCTGTCCTTAGAATAGCCTCATGCCCATCTTTTTCAAGGGTCTATGAATCCCCACAGCATGTAATAACGTTAACATTAATGCTTACAAATAAAAAAGGAGAAAGCACTTAAATGACAGACTGAGAACAGTAATAAATGGACATTAGTGATTAATAAGGTAATAAAACCTTCAATAGGATTAGGAAAAGAACAAGATAGAGCAAAACCTCTTTCAGCTGATTACTTAGCTACTCTTAAGGACATTAAAAATAAAATAAAATTAAGAAGTTAATCTAACACATGAACAGCGTGCCAGACACTGCACACAGAACAGCACAGCAAGCTTCGTACAGGTTCAAGCACAGATCTGCAAGTCGTGAAGGTTCCAGTAAACTGGAAGCAACTCAGAAAATCCCTCTCAGACAGATGACATGCCTGCCTGATTAATAGGAGATTCTCAGATTCCACAAAGGAATAGGAGCAGCCATATGAAAATCTGCCAAAGGTTAGCTTCTGGGAGGGAAAACGTCATTAAAATAAGAGTTTGGTCCTTGTAACCGTAAAAACAAGTGTCTTCAGAGAAAGAGGTATCAATCTCCTGAAACTACACAAACAACAGAGAAAGCCAGCATTCCCAAACACTGTACCTGCCTGTGGATACACAAGTTACCAATTACGTTTTAAATGCCACCACTAGATGTTTCTGTGCTGTACACTTCAGAAAACAGGACTGGGGAGAAGGATCAATTCCTTGTAGAAAATATTTACGCAGAGAAGAGGGAAGGAGAATTAAGTGAATACAGAGGTACAGCTGGAAGGAAAAAAAGGGACTGCAGTAGCCAAAAGGGGAACTTGATGTCCCCACCCCATGCTGAACCAACACTAACACTTCCTGAAAACAACAAATTCAGTTGTCCCACAGCAAGCCAGACTCCGGCCTTGACCTCAAGCATCTACCACCACCTTCCACGTTCTCAGCATACGGGATCACAGAATCACAGAATCACAGAATCACAAGGTTGGAAATGACCTGCAAGATCATCCAGTCCAACCACCCTCCCATTCCTATCAGTGCCACAAGCTACTAAACCATCTCTCGTAGCTCCTCATCCAGGCGCCTCTTGAACACTGCCAGGGACGGCGACTCCACCACCTCCCTGGGCAGCCATTCCAGTGCCTGACCACCCTTTGAGAGAAAAAGTTTCTCTTAATATCCAACCTAAACCTCCTCTGGTATAACTTCTTGCCATTTCCTCGGGTCCTACTATTTGCCTGGGAGAAGAGGCCAGACCCTTTTGCACCACAACCTCCCTTCAGGAAGTTGTACAGTGCAGTGAGGTCTCCCCTGAGCCTCCTCTTCTCCAGACTGAACAATCCCAGCTCCCTCAACCGCTCCTCATAAGACTTGTGCTCCAGACCCCTCACCAGTTTCGTTGCTCTTCTCTGGACACGCTCCAGGGCCTCAATGTTTTTCTTGTAGTGAGGGGCCCAAAACTGAACACAGTACTCGAGGTGCGGCCTCACCAGTGCTGAGTACAGGGGGATGATCACCTCCCTGCTCCTGCTGGCCACACTATTTCTAATGCAGGCCAGGATGCCATTGGCCCTCTTGGGCACCTGGGCACACTGTCGGCTCATGTTCAGCCGAGCATCAACCAACACCCCCAGGTCACTTTCCTCTTCACAGTCATCCAACCACTCATCCCCAAGCCTGTAACGCTGCATGGGGTTGTTATGGCCAAAGTGCAGAACCCGACACTTGGCCTTGTTAAACCTCATCCCATTCATCTCAGCCCAGTGATCCAGCTTATCTAGATCCCTCTGCAGGGCCTCCCTGCCCTCAGGCAGATCGACACAACCTCCCAACTTAGTGTCATCTGCAAACTTACTCAGGGTACACTCAATCCCTTCATCTAAGTTGTCAATGAAGACATTAAACAGGATGGGCCCCAGCACCAACCCCTGGGGGACACCACTTGTAACAGGTCTCCAGCTGGACTTCACTCCATTGACCACCACCCGTTGAGCACGGCCCTCCAGCCAGTTCCTTATCCAATGGAGGGTAAAACTGTCCAAGCCATGGGCAGCCAGTTTCTGCAGAAGGATACTGTGTGAGACCATGTCAAAGGCTTTGCTGAAGTCTAGGTAGACTACATCAACTGCCTTTCCCTCATCTACCAGTTTGGTCACTCAGTCGTAGAAGGAGATGAGGTTGGTCAAACACAACCTGCCTTTCATGAACCCGTGCTGGCTGGGCCTGATCCCGTGGACAAGCTGTGTGATCTCTCCCAGGAGGATTTGTTCCATGACCTTCCCTGGCACTGATGTCAGGCTGACAGGCCTGTAGTTCCCCGGATCCTCCTTACGGCCCTTCTTGTAGATGGGCGTAACATCAGCAAGCCTCCAATCCTCTGGAACCTTTCAACCAGGAGCGCGGATAGATAGCCGAGAGCGGCTTAGCGATCACCCCGGCCAACTCCCTCAGCACCCTAGGATGAAGCCCATCCGGTCCCATGGACTTGTGACTGTCCAGATGGAGGAGGAGCTCTCTAACTGTCTCCACCTCGATCTCCGGGGAGATACGCTGCATGTCAGCCCAGGTATCCAGATCAGGGCACAAAGTGCCCTGAAGATAGCTGGTCTGACTATTAAAGGCAGATGTAAAGAAGTCGTTGAGGACCTCAGCCTTCTCCTTGTCATCTGTGGTCACATTCCCCGCCGCATCAATTAAAGGACAGAGATTATCCTTGGGTTTTCTCTTGCCATTGACATATTTGTAAAAGGATTTCTTATTCTTATTCTTTACTGCAGTGGCCAATCTAAGTTCAAGATGGGCTTTTGCCTTCCGGACTTTCTCCCTGCATACCTTAGCAACTTCCTTGTAATCTCCCCTAGTAGCCTGTCCCTTCTTCCACAGGACATAGACTCTCTTTTTCTTCCTGAGTCTTGACAGTAATTCCCGGCTCATCCACACCGGTCTTCTCCCCCTACGGCTCGCAACGGGATGGCTACTGATGGAGGGGAACCCACACTCCAAAGCACAGAGCTGAGCTCACTGGCTCATAAGAAGTAGAGGTGAGTCCTCTTCTTCTGCAGCAAACTGTGGAGAGCTGACTAAACACACTTGCTCAGACCACACAGCCCTGCTACAGTGACATCTCCGTTATTCCTCTGCAGTTCACAGGGGCCTCTTACAGTTCTGATTTGTTTGATGTTCTCCCAACGCCGAGAGAGACTACGAAGGGAGAGAAAAGGAGAAATATGCCTTTCAATTTCCTAATCATCTTCCTCAAAATGCTCCATGCATCAGCGCTGATTTCATTATCTGCCTGCTGCTACAGATTTTATTTAAAGACTAACACAGGGAAGAAAGGATTTAACTTGACCTCCCTGAACTGCTGGAGGATGAAAACTATGCAGAGCTGACAGTGAAAAGCTCGTTTTCTTTCTCAGTCTAACCTAAACACTACGCAAAATTCCCTTCTATCCAAGCCTCCTTTTAAATTGGGCTATCAAAGGCTTTTCTTTTTTTGGAGGCCTGGGCTGATCCAATCAGTAGATCATCAATGAATGAGCATTTCTAACACAAGCCCTCATAAAGCATAGCTGGGGGTACAGTGACTAAAAAGGGCAGAACAATACAGAAAATTGGAGTAAATTAAAACCAATGTTCTTCTAGCCAGCTATATTAAGAAGAGAATAAAAAGCAGTAGGGTCCATTCTTTTTTTTTCCCACTGCATTAGCACAGCATTCAGTGCGAGACTTTGGAGTGTTACGTATTACAGATCAAGTGGGACAATAAATGGAAAGGCTAGCAGGAAGCATGGGAGGATACCATCAAGTAAGGATGAAAAGTATTCTGGACAGGGAGCAAGGAATGAGAGAGGGAAAAAACAAGTTGTAGAGCAAGATGCAGACAGGACTTTTAACAAACACAAGCACAGGACCCTACACACACTTCGGTGGAAGCAGCAATCCAAGGTGACTCAAATGAGGTCTGTTCTGGACTGCTTCTGCTCCAGGAGGTCCTGAGCTCCCAACACAGCTGTCTCTGGATGGTTCCCCCCAGTTTGATGGCAGCTCTTTTTATTTTGTCTACCACAAGCTCCTGAAGTCATTCACTTCTTCAAGAGTGATTAACATATAATCCAAATACTTTATTTTGGGAAATAGGCCATCTCTTCCCTTTGTGAGACCCTGCACAGCAGCCTGTTTTCAAGAAGCCACATTTATGCAATACAAGCAGGACATGAAGAGTAGAGAGCAGGCCAAATTAAGGAAGGGAAACCTAACTGTATCACTTTTTACTATTATTTAAACCTGTTTTTTTTCCTTCCAAAAATCCATCTAAAAGAACTGTTCATGACACAGAATTCAATTACCCTAGAAAATTTCCACCAACTGTTGCCTTAGTTATAAATGCCTGATATCACAGAAGATATCCAACAGCTCTCTAACATGCAAATTCACTGCCAAAAGCTTCCTGTCCCTTTTATAAACACCAGGATTCTCAGTCCCTAACCACACTTGCTGACAGTGCAGCTCATTTTTATCATTCTTACCCTTTCTTCTGTATTTACAGGACCAAGACGTCTGCATGCAATAGTAAATTAGGCTAAGGCCTTGTTTGTCCTTCTATCATCCACATCCGAATAAGGAACAAGAAAGCCCCCCCTTTGCCCTCATACTGCTGCACATCATCAGCTGCAGTGAGCACAGGGCACTCCACAATACCTGTATTCCAGAGAGCGGAATGAAGAGACGCTCACACGCCTGGCTTACCTGATCCTCAGAGAGCTGAGATATGTGATTCACCGCAGCGTAAGACTCTATCTTCGGGTTGAAGTGATTGATGATGGCTCTGAAACAAAGAAGGGAAATTGTCACAGGTCTCTGGAGCAGCTCAGAGATGCAGCATAAACTCCCTGCCAGCCTGAGTCAGTGCACAAGGAGCCATAGCTCTTCCAAGAAGAGCTTCTCCCTCAATGCACTATACCACTTGCTTCGCTGCAGGCTGAGAGCCCTATGCTGATCGAGTCACACTCACTGGAAAATGCAATCACAGGCACACGTGGGTCCATTTGTTCCACAAGGTTCAGGATTGCGCGTGTGGCAATGGCAGAGGAGTCACTGCCCTGCTGGGAACAGGCTGCAAACTGCTCCGTTCCAGCACAAACAGCAACACTGGAGAGTGCTGCCCCATCCCGCTCCGGAACTGTACCACCCGATCCTGTCCAAAACCAGTGCTGCCTGACATTTTGCTTTATGCAACTTCACTGCCTGATAAGTTGAAGTTAGTGGCTTTTTGCAGTAGATGTCCATCCTGGTCTGAAAAACGGCAGTCAGCTCTTCCCTGTGGTCATCCATCACTGCAGCCACTCCTTTGACAACTGCAATAACTTCAGTTCTCAGTCTCAATTTACATCACTAGCAATAACATATGCCAACACTCCAAACACAGCAACAGGAACAGCACTCCTCTGCTTTGTGTCTCTGACAGCAACAACATATCTCCCTCCCTTCCAGGTGGATCTACAGACAGGTGAAAAATTGGGAAAAAAAAACCCAAAAAGCTGCAGCTGGAATATTTCCTCTATTGTGCTTTCCAGGTGCAACTGAGCAGACAAATGGCCAGACAGTAAGGGCTCCCCATGCTGCTGTATGCAACTGGCCTGGCTCCCACTGGTGAGATCCACTGCCGAGGTCTGAGCTCAGGATGGGAGCAGTCCACACCAGTGCTGGCACAGATGTGTGCTGACAGTGCCTGGAAAACACTTGCCAGCCCAAATTACCACCACAGCAGCCGTCAGGGCTTTTGCTCTCATGTTCATCAGCACAAAAACTCACTGCAGCTCCCTTTGTTGCGCTCTAATGTGTTCCTCCTCCCCACTCCTCCCCCTGCCAGAAAGGCTTTCAGCCACTCTCTCAAGACTTCATCACTGCTAAGAGCTGGTGACTGAGTTCAGGAATAAGTGATGTTCTATGGATAATCAGAACTGGTGGAAAGAAAACCAGCTTGGAAGCATCCTTACCTCTTTAAGGGGATGAGAAGAGAGAGAAAAGAAAACAAAAACAAAAACAGAACCTGCAGATTCATTGCACCGTTCCTAGCCTGTGCAAGGGGCAGACATCTCCCTTGGCTACTCCTACCCATCAGTACATACTCAGCACAGGGGGCTCTGCAGTCTCACACAACCCTGCAGCTACATCAGCAAAGCAAACTCAGGAGGCTGCTGCACGCCCTCTCCCTCCAGAACAGAGGGAATACACAGGCAGAGATGTGCCCAGCCTCTTCCCATTGCAACCCAACAAGAGAACAGCTCCTGTGAGTCATGATCACACTCTCCATTACCCAGCCTCCTGAACACCAGGGCTTTCAAGCTGCATGTTTTATGCCTGGCTGGAGTCGTATTTACACTCCTACAGGACACACTACAAGCTATTGAAAAAAAAAAAAATAAAAATGGGAACGCACACTTGCAACAACTTAACTTCTGGCTTGACAGAAGGTTTGGCAGCTCAGCAGGGTTCAGTGCACTCATACCGTTCCAACATTTACCAGGGAACAGATTTAGCATTCATTTGTATCCAAGTGCTGTGAAGCACTTCAGCATGGGCCGCCTGCTCACACATCCCTGCTTGGATCTGAGCTAGTGGAGCGGCACCTGCAAGCACAGCTGGGATTCACCCAGGGAGAGCCAGCCCAGCAACCAGCTGCTGCTGCAGTGAGGAACAACAGCCATTAAAGAGGAGAAAGAATTCAAGCCTCCCTCCTCCTTTCCCTAGAGGCATATGGACAACTCTTCAGCAACTAGAAGCAGTTGAGCCATTTAATTTGGTTCAAAGAACTCTCTCAGTACCAAGAATTCCTTCCCGACCTGAGCTGTTTCCCTAAGCAGGCTGCCTGGGAAGGAGCAGCATGAAGGGTTTGTTTTGAGCACCAGCTCTGTGCAGCCAGGTTCTCACAGCTGAGCACACACCGTGGAGGCCAGGCTCTGTATGTGGCACAGCTCCTTCTCACACCTGTAATGAGAAATTCCACCTGCACCCAGCAGTAACGGAGCCCTTCTGCATCAACTGCTCCAGATACACCCCTGCTACTCCTCCATCTCCTGAAAGCTGTGCTGTCCCTGCAGTGTGCTGCTAGGTAACTGGCCTCCTGGGCTGCTGCAAACAGCTGGAATTTCACTTTGCACAGCTGCCACTCCAGGCACGTGCTCATGGAGACAACAGGGGAGCACAGCTTTCAGGCACAGTCTCCCCCTTATGGACAATAGAACAGCAGCTTAGCCATCATTAGTTTGCACACCAGAGCCAAATAGCTGAGCTTTAGCAGTGTTTTATTTTTACACTGTGATTGCCTTGATTGTTGGGCTATCAGCCAGTACCTTCAGGGAGGGAAAAGGAGTGGTTAAAGCTCTTATAAAGGATTTCTGATAGGTTGTGCTCTCAGACTTTTCTATCAGTGATGGGGGAAAAAGAAAGGAAACCTTTGGTATTCAGAAAAAACTACCATCTTCAACACAGCAAGGAAATGGTCAAATGTCATTTGGGAGACAGAACACTGCAGTGCCCCACAGGCTCTGCTGGTGAACACACTTATTTGCACAGCCCAGCTCCCAGTGGGTCTGCCTGCCATTTGTCAGATAAACTGCAGAATGCTTTCGGGACACAGATCCACAGGGGGCAGAAGGCTCAGCAGCTCCAGAGGGATGTCACTCCAACAGCACTGCCTCCTCTGACAGTCACACTTCAGTTATCAGCAAGAGAAGAGACCATCACTGGATGAGGAAGCAAGTTTAACAGGCAGAAGAGGGGAAAAGTGGCACAATAGCCCTGCCTTTGCTCTCAGCAAAACACATGCTCTCCTCACTCCATGCAGCTCTCAGGGAGCAAGCTACCTGAATGCCGTGGAGCCAGAAGGCATGAAAAGAGGCACATGAACCTATATTTTTTTCAGGACACTTGCATTTATTTATGCATATATTGCATGCTTACTCTCTGCATATATTTCTTTGGGAAGAAGGGAATCACTGCAGGAAAAAACCTGAAGCGTTCCATCTTGATTTAGGAACCTGGGCGCCAAAGAAGCATATATTTGTATTAGCTGTATTAATCGTGTTATTAGACAGTGAAAGCGGGTCCCACTGAGACTGGTGCTGTACAAACAGTGGTAGGAAGCCTCTGCCCCAGGAGAGCTAATGGTCTCAAATACAAGAGAACAGGGAAAGCTCAGAAACTGGGGAAAAAAAAATGCAGAGGCAAAGAAAACATAATGGTGCTGTATTTACTCTGGTCATTAAAGATCTCAGCTAGAAATAAACTGAAGATTAAAAAAGAAAAATCAAAACAAAGCACTGAATGAAGCAGAGAGTCAAGGAAAAGGAGACAGACACAGGATCAAAGAAAACCAGAGGTGAAGAGTGCAGCACACAGATGATCAGAGCAGTATCAGCTGATCACAGGGCAGCCTGTCTTCTGCAAACTGCAACGCTCTGACAGCCAAAGGTTTCTGTGTTGTCTGCCTGAGGTGACTACAGCTGGGCAGCCTTCAGCTGACTGCTGCTGGCCTTTTGTCTCAAAAATGGATGGGCTGGAAGGTGAGATGTGGGGAAATCACCACATAGGTCAGACTGCCCAGAGCCACTTGAAAAACAGAACAGTGCTGCCCTTTGGAAAAGCTGAGGGTGAAACATTAAGAGACGATTTCTGATGATGCAGTGTGCAGACACAATAGGGCTCCTGTGAAAAGTGATGTGGCATGCATGGAAGAGATTTAATTGATTCTTCAGTTTGATTTGCCACTAGTTGTAAGAACATCTTCCAGCCCACGTGCACCCACAGCAGTAAGCTATGCATCCTGCCTGCCCTAATCTCGTGCTCTGGGTCCAGTGTGCAGGGAAAGCAAAGACACCCTGCTCAGACAGGCAGCACTCCTGCATGTTCTCTCCGACCTCCAAAGTCTCCCCATCACGCTGTTGCAGATGCGCTGTCTAATACCCACTCCTGCTCGATGGCAGCTACATTTCCAACGTCCTAGAAGACCACACCATCCTCTTGTCCTGAGAAGTGAAATTAAGCACTTGTAAGTAGTACTGAAAGTAGGCTAAGGGAAGAACGAAGAGTTGCAAACCTCATTAAGGAGAGCAGAATGCTGAGCTATCACTCACTGCAAGAAGCTGGTCTTTGCACCTGCTCTGCTGGCCCAGCATGAAGAGCCTGATATAAAGCGTGTGTACCCAAACACTCCCTGTACAACCAGGACAGCACAAAAGCTCATTTCTTCCTACATCCTGCTAGGGTGGAACACAGAAGGTAATACCTGGCCGATATCCACCTCCTCACATCTCAGCTTCTCTCTTTACAAAATGGGAGTCAGAACAATTGCCTCTACAGTGTTTTCAAGCAACAAAATGAAGCAGGCTCAGTGTTGTACTGTGCAGTATGTTGCAAACCACTCAAGCATAAGGCAGCAAGTAAATTACACCCAGGGACCAAAATGAACAAACCGCCTATCTTCTTCCCTGTCACACTCCTGGTTGCTGAGACCTGTGCAAAAGCTCCCAGCCAGCAGCCTGCCTTCCTGCAGGAAGCTGTGTCTCAGCAAGCTTTTGTTTGGGGCAAGAATCCTGCTGGCATTGCTCTTTCATGCACACCCAGCACTGGAGGCTGTAAAACCCCATCTGTTCGGTGCCTGCAACAATTAGATTGAGTTACTCTGTACGTACAGCTCCACCTGGCAGGAGGTGAGAGGGTTTGGATTATTTTATCGCATGTCCATGAGGCATTGCTGTAAAGCATACTTACCTGCCATACCTAAGCTATGAGTGCCAATTAAACCCAAGCAAACTCCCTGGAATG